TGCGCGCACGCGGCTCAGATGTGCCAGCGACCTCACTTCACTGCCTGTGCTATGAGCTGCACCCCCCCACATTTCCTATCGTGATGTTCTACTCAATTTCCAAAACACCCTGCTCCATCACTTCACAATAAACTGAAAAACTGCTCTGATGCCAATTACCACAGGTAAATTTCAGGATATTTTTCAACGTAATGCGCTATATTTATTGTAGCATTTATGTATTCCTCTATCATTTAGCACATATAAAAATGTACTACCATTTTTACTAAGTTCCTGTCTTTCTATGTCATTGACCAAGTTTTAAGTACAGTGCCCCTAATCTGTTTTTCCCCATTAGCCCTGTGATTTTTATTGTGCCATTTTGCACAGTACAGTGATTTTTAGGAACACATCATATTATAGCAAAATTGACTGTATGTGGCTGTTTTAACCAGATTTAATCCCATTCTGCTAGACTACTATCATCATTATTACCATGTGTATGTTATAGGACGTTACAAATTTCAAAAACTCAATATATACTGGCTTATGGCTTTTAAGAAAACTCAAAACTACCCAACTAAAAGCCCCAAGTGAGATTATGCAGGGTCTTTCAGGGCGGGGGGCGGGGGGCGGATGGTGCTGGATAGAGGAGTGGCAGAGGGACTGAGCAAAAAAGAAAAAACTCAACAAAAACAACAAAATAATGAATATCCTCTAAAATTCTGGCCTATAAAAATTATCCTTTGTAGTAATTTTAGAAATGCCTTGGAGAAAATATTCTGCTTTAATATCTATTTTCATCAAAGTTTCCTCAAATTTTTATCACTCAGATCAACAAACGGAGGAAAACATAGCTACAAGGTTGGCTTTTCCTCAGTTTTTCCAATTTGGTTTCCCTTTTTTTTTGGTGGAGTTAATTTTAAATTTTGCTTGACTTCTTAATTTACATAAACATGAAAATTTTGGATGGCTAACTCTGACTCTAAAAGACTTTTGATACATTCTTTCCTAAGATTTGCTAGGATATGTCAAAGGCATACTATAATGCATATAAATGTATACTTCACAAAAATGTCCACTGTTCAGCTTCTACCTTTCCCCAAGGCATTGGGAGGCTCCTTTAAAAAGATGAATTAACATAGATTACATTTACATTGAAAATGAAGATTTACTAGTTCTAGTTTATGTGGTCAATTTACATACCTCCCAGTACTAAGTGCATTCAAAGACCCAATCACCTGAAGAAATAATTTCCTTTTGAAAACTCAGCAAATCATGCTCTGCATGGTTTAAATGTGAGAAATTTTTATTTTTTGAAGGCTAAATTAAAATCTGGATATTGTCACTGGGCAAAATAATTTTTCCTAGGTTTTTCAAATCTGGAAATGGGTGGTTTAGATATGATGTTCATATGCCTTATGAAAACACCTCATTTTCAGTGGAAAAAAATTGCTGTTACAAAAATTCGTGTCAAATGCCAGCATAAACACAAGTTTCAGGATCGTGGGTGAACTGTAAACTGCTCAGTGCCAGAGTCTGAGAACTACTGAGGACAGTCTGTGCTTCACCCCCTCCCCCCACCCTTACACACTTTTTTAAATTCTTGACATTTACTAAGTTTCTCATCATTCTGAATTCGCTTATAGATACTGGGAAATAGTCTTAATTTCTCTTTCAACAATGTGTAATGCACAACTACAGGCATTTCTATCTTTTGACATTCAAAAGTTTTTTCACTAGTCTGAAGTCTCTGAGGTACGGAAGTTCCTCAGAGATCCTGTACGTTCATAGAGCTCCTTTCTGTTAGGACTTCTCTGAAGCAGAGTAAAAGGCCCATGTCTTTTCCGAGCGGGCATGTCTTCACAGCTGAGTGTGTCATACCTAATACAGCATGTAGGCCACGGATTTACCTTTGCACAACCTGATCGGCCCCCCTCGGGGTTCCTCTCCTGGAGAAGAACAAAGGGAATCCAGAGGATGGAAAGTGTGAGAACCACACAAAAACAGAAAGGCTTCCCTGTACACATTTGACTCGGCTTTCTCATTTGGAAACAAGCTTCTGGAATTTTCCTTCTTCTTCTCTGGCCTCCCCCCCCCGCCCCCCCGGCTAGTGCTTCCTTGTCTTCCTAGCCTCTGGAGGTACCAGGGCTTGGTCTTGGACTCCTCTCTTCCACCTGTACACATTTCTCTGGTGACTGCATTCAATCTCACAGCGTCAAACACCATCTCTTCGCTAAAATCCTGCAATTTATATTTCCAGTTTATACCTTCCCCTTGATTCTCAGACTCACATAAGAGCCTCAAACTTAACATGTCCCAAATTGAGCCCCTGGTTAATCCCACTTTCCAACTTGCTTCCCCCACAGTCTCTCTCAATTTAAAAAATAACGACTTGATTCTTCTTGCTGCTCTAGCCAAAATCCCTCATTTTCTGTTTCTCACTTCCCACCTCCAGTCAATTCGTAAGTCCTGCTGGCTCTACCTCCAAATGCGGTCAGAACCCGGTCGCTTCTCAGCCTCCCCACTGCCCCGCTAAGCCACCCCTCGTTTAGATCGCGGCGACAGTGCTTGCACCCCTCGTTTAGATCGCGGTGACAGTGCTTGGACCGGTGAACCCCCACGTTGGCGGCCCTGCTCTCAGCTGGGAAGCCGAGGTTTCCCCCGCCTCACGGAGTAAAAGCCAAAGCCCTTCTGATGACCTACAGGGCCCTCGTGATCTGCTCAGTGATGTCACCTGCTACTGCCCTCCCGTCTTCACTCCACGCAGCCTCACTGGCCTCGATGCCGCTCCCGGGACACCCATCACACTCTCCTTTATACTGGCCGCCCCCCTGGGAGACGCTCTCTCCCAGCTATCCACATGCCTGACTCCCACACTTTTATCAGATATGGACTCAAATGTCACTTAACAGTGAGGCATTCTTTGGTCACCTTAGCTAAAATTACACTTCCTTGACGCTTTCTATTTCCATTCCATACGTATTTTTTTTTCTTTGTACTTATCACCACCCAGCACAGTGTATATTTGACTTATTATTCTTGCTTATTGTCTGTCATTCCTGTAAGCTTCACAAGGGGAGAGAGTTTTGTCTATTTTTTCACTGTTGTATCTTGAATGCCTAGAACAGTATCTGGCACATAGTTGTCACTCAGTAACTATTTGCTGCATAAACAAAAAGGTTTATTTCTTAATTAAAAATCAGTAAAAGCCACACAGTATGCCGCAATAATAACATGTACTGTGGACAGTCACCAACGATCTGTCTTCCTAATTACATAAGAACCTTCTAAAGGCAGAAGTGTTATCTTACACCCCGGTTCATTCTAGGGACCAGCACAGCATGTTCCACACACAGCAATTATTCAATTTAGTGTTTGACAGCAGGAAATTTTGCTTAAAGACAAAGCACCAGGAGATAAAAATAGAACAACAGAATCATGATCTAATTCAACATTAGACTGGCATGTAAGAAGAAGTGGCTCTAAAAGTAGTCCTTTCCCCTTTAATATTTATGAGCCATAGCCCTCAGTGCTAATTTAGGACATCCACTCCAGAAATGATCATGGGCTGCTGAGAGTCGAGACCTGCTGTCTAGGACAAAAGGCGGGCTGGCTCTCGACTGAGCACCGTGGCAACCTCATCCTACTTTACGACATCGTTCTTGCCGCTATAAAATTATAATCATTCTTCAGACTCTGAATATACATCCTCTGTGGGTGAAAGCTTGTCAAAGTTTCCTAGAGAAGTGACAAGATAGTCATCAACATAACACTGTAAGTAGGGACACCAAAGGAGTTGAAAGAAGGTGACTCTGCACCCGTCTAATTCACACAGGACTTGTCTGTGAGGTGCAAACAGGCTGCACATGCAAAGGTGACGCCCAGACCGGTCTGCAGCCCAACCCGGACACCTACTCTGGTTGCGACACACGCGGAAGAAGCACGACACAGACTCAGCAAGAGGACAATTGTACTTCTCCCAGTGTGACTCCTGGGAGAAAAGTGTTTGCTGACCTACTTTCTAGAAAACCGACAACTGTTACAGGGCAAAAAGAGAAATAAAGGGTTCAAATTCTCACTAAGACTTCAGAGGTCCATTTAAAATACGAAGAGAAATGAAGAAAAAGGCAAACCACCCCCCCGCCAACAAATCCTAGTATTCAAAAACACAAGCAAAATCACAGTCATCCATATTAACCAACATACAAACAATAAATAGTTGTTTTATCTACTTAGCAAATGTTTATGACGAAATGTCTTAACATTCACTAAGCAAATAATAGAACAATGCAAAACACTTCCTATATTTCAAATCCTCTCGTTATTTTACTTAATTTTAATTATATTTCCTTAAAATTACCTGATCTGTCTAACTATCCATATATCCATTGGTTAGCATGTAAAACATGACACAGTGCATTTGGTAGGAAACGGAAAGAGCTGCTTTGATGTTAACGTTAATTCCTTTAATGTATGACAATTCATGTTGTTTTTTTTTTTTATTTCACTCTTCTGTCACCCACTGTAACCATAGTCCCAAGTATAACTTAGATGGGATATGTAAAATTAGCTCAGCTAAAGTAGCCTGATCTGACATTACATTATACAAGACAGAATCAGTACCTACGTGAACAGGACACAAACCACTCAACACGAAGTGTCCCCGCACTGCTGATTCCCCAGCGAACCTCAGAACTCCAACAAGATCACCCAATGGACTTCCAAAATTTAAAGACAGGCAGTCAACTCAGAAACAACACACCATCCAACTTGTCCTGGACTGTACACAGCAAACTTACAATGCTCAGATAAATTTTATCTCTGTAAAGTAACTTTGCTGACCCTTGGTTATAAAGAATAGAACTTTCTAATGACCTCTCACCCTTGGATAACATACTATATTTCAATGAGCCTCATTAACAGGAAGTGCAAGATGTTTTGTTTTATTGTAACACTCAATAACAAGTCCATTAATTACCGGATAAAAGCCAGGAATTTCTTTCCTTTTCGTAGCTTACCCAGTTTAGCAGCGCCCTCTGGTGGGTACTCAGGAAACTGACCCTCGGAAGGGACACTGACAGTTCTCCTTAGGCATCTCCCTTTGGCGGAATCGGCCTGCTGCTCCGCTCCTCCCTCCGCGGGGACCTAGTGAAGCGAAAGGAGAAGGAGATGAATCTGAACAGTGAGCACGCCAGGACCACCCTCTGATCGAATTATGTTTCTAGTTAATAAAGACGAGGGCTTGTCATCATCAGAGCAAAGTAGAAGAAATGAAGAAACAAAGTATACACAATAGTAAAGTATTATCAATCCTTTTCCGGAAGCTTTTCTTTAAAAAGAAAACCAAAAGATCAGGAAAGGTGAGTATGTAAATTAGCATACTTGAAGTATGTACAGCTCACATCCAGGTGTGTGCCTGTTTTGGGAGCTCAGAAAACAAAACAAAACACCCACACAAGTAAAAGATTCTTTTACATTGGAAACTGGTTCACAGGCTCCAATCTGGCCCCGCACTCAATAAGGTAAATGGAAATGAAAGTCAACCAGAAGGATTCAGCTACAACATTCTCTTAAATGGTTATGTTACAGAAAAGTAGTAAAATCACCCAACTTTTTTTCAGTTTTAGAATTAAGCACTTAGAGATAGTCAATAAAGTACATTTTCAGTGAAAACTTATATTGACACCTAAATAAAATGGCATGCTTTCTTCCAAAAGTGAGATTAGTTTTTGATATCCTAAAACATTTTTTCTGGCATAGTTTCAGAAACGCATCCTGTGTTGTTGGTATATGCAGAATGAGAGCTATGAATGGGACGGAAGGTCTCTACAGGCAGTAACTATGAAAACTTACACGTTACCTGCGTAGAGTAACGGGAGGGCTCTGAGTTGCTTTCACAATGAGATCTTACTAGTAACCTTTATCAAAAGCATGGCCAGCAATTAATCATAGTTTCTAACTTCTTAGGGCTCCAGTACTGAAATGTCAACAATTTCAATAACAATGACTAGCACTGAGTTCTTACTGCGTGCAAGGCTCTAGGATCCACACGTGTGACGTTCTCAGAGGGCCCCTGTTACTACCTGCCTCTTACAGACAAGGAATAGGTTATCTTAAGCCAGGACTGCAGTGCATACTTATCCCATCAACTGATGAGAAAGAGCGGGCACGAGCAGGCTCAAGCGTACACGCCTCTGCTCTGCCTCCGCATCCCGACCCCCACGACGGGGCTGGGGCGGCCACAAGGGAAGCTCGCTCTCCTGAGACTCTGGAGAGCAGTGTCTTCAACATGGACTGAAAGTTTTCACCCTCTTTCTAGGGCCCCAAATCACCATTTCCTCGTTACCATAACTATATGCTTACTGCTCACACACTGAGAGACAAAAAGCAGAATTAATAAAGGTAAAAATTCTAAAAATATAATAATGGCACCGATAAAGACACGGACTCTTCCAAAAGCACTCTGTAACATAAGACTTTACAAACAGTAATCTAAGTCATCCACCCCTTTCAGGATGGAAATTATTATCATCTCAACTTAAATAATTAAAAGAGTAGCACTGAGAGGTTAAACTGCTGCCTAGTGAGAGGTGAAAATGCAGCCTCCACCGGCCTTAAAGTAGAAAAGAAGACGGGGAAATTTGGGTGGAAAAGTTTGTATCTTTGAACAAATAGATGAACCTAAATATACATAACCATTCTCCTCATAATTTAAAAAATGTCTATTATCTGACCTAATGGAGGCCCCAGCCATTAAGAAAAAAGGTAGCAGTAATTTTTGCTATTACAGGAGGAAATGACCTATGATCTTTTCTATAGAAATTTATAAAGGTTATATTCAGGAAAAAAGTAAGAAATGGTTTCTATTATCATATACTTTGTCTCTACCATGTCTAAGGAGAGGATAAATGAAATATATCAAACTTCTTACTTGGGCCTAAAATTCACTCACAATTATTTTCTCAAAGTTTCCATGTAGACTCTTCACTTCCCAGTATTGTAACTTAAAATATAACCAAAGATTCCATTCAAAGTATGACTTATAGGTTATAGCATTTTACCTCTGACTTGGGACATATGGGACAATAGTTTTGACTCTAAACTTGCATTTCTTTTACAACACCATAGACTGCTTCTTACCTAAAATATTTTCAAAAGATATTGATCTACTTGAAAATTAGAGGGCTATTTCAAATATTTTCAAACTAAGCTGTAGTTCACCAATCTTAGTACACAGCCAAAGAGAATCAATCTTAGAAAGTCAACTTTAGAAAACCAATTTTGTCCATTATAATTGCCCCAATTTAGTTTACTAGTTCACATTTATTGTTTATACTGATTTACTCTTTAAAATGTGCACATCTCCCAGGTTCTATAACATGAGAGGATTTTTTTTTAACTTTTTTAGCCTTGTACTGTGCTCCTGAGTCCAATTTTCCCTCTGGGAGGAGGGAAAAAAAAAACACCAAGCACTTTAATTCATTCCATTTCTGATGAGGAAAATGAATGCAGTAAGGAGTCAATGGGCTTCTCAGGCACCTGAAATATGTAAATAACAAAGTCAGACTGAGCCTGACGCCTAGTCCTCTCGGTGAGCCCCCAGCCACCCGTGATGATGGAAGAGTGGCGCGCACAGATACATCCAGTTACTTCAAAAACATTATTCATATACATCTACCTCATATTTTCTACAAAACTGCCTTTCATTTTGTTTAGAACTATATATAAATTTATTTCAATTTCAATGTGTACATGCAGATTAAATAAAATAGCGAAGTAAAGGAAACCAAGATCATGCTAACAAGTAGAAGGAAGCCCTGTTACTTTCTTCCCTAAAGGACGCCTAAATGGCGTTCAAGCCTGCTGGGCCCGGATGCGGCGCACGCGCCTGCCGCCTGCCGGCGGAGAGCATCCCTCTGCTCCAAGCAGAGCGCAGTTCTGGATTCATCCGCTCGCTCTATGCGGCTTCTGCAGGAGCGTTTCCACAAACGAAGAGCTCTTTTGCTGAAAGTATCCACGTTCGGACTTTACCTTCTAGGAACACCGAACTGCTTGCGTCTCCCTAACATATTGCCTATTCTGTAGTTCAGTGCCTTTGCTTAGTTTGTGCACTCAGCTTAAAACATTTCCCTCACTTTCTTCTCTGTTCTATACCTAACAGGTAAAACTATTCATCCTGAGGCTGCAGACCGACATCGCCCCGCGTCCCACCAGTCGCATAAGGGAAGGTTAACAAGGTACACCTTCCTGAGGCTCCTCCCATGACAGATTTTCCTCTACCACTATACTTATTACATTGAATTAAAATTATTCCTTTGTGCAACTAATTCCATGTAAGTTAACAGCTTGCATCTTACCAGTCAATCCCCAAATCTTAAAATAGCTCCAACCACAAATGAATGAATGAATATTTAATAGGTAGAGAGGGTGGCCATTTTAGTTTAAGAAGAAAACATAACATCAGCCAAGAAGTTGGTAAGCATACGACTTTTTAATTTTATTTTGGAACAGGGAGTAGGCCAATTTAGTTAGCGCCTCTTAAAGGGGAGAAGTTGGGTAGAAGACCAAAATATATGATGGCCGCGCTGGAAGGCCTTAATCCCAAGCCGTGCATAATTCAGGAGGCGCCGGGAAACCACTCACGTGTGCAGATCAGAGGAACCGCAGCCTTTTAATTGGTCTTTCTCTTTCCCATCTCTCCCTCTTCTGATACGGCCTACAGATCAGTATTCATAACACATAACTTTGATCATATTCCTTCCTTTCTTAAGCTTCCCTTTGGTAACTGCCCATTACCAACAGCATCTTAATGACACAGAATATATTCCCTGAGAATAATGGATTTCTTTTATTCTATCCAGTTTATTTGTGCTATTTATCAAATGCTATTTTAAAATTATTTGTCTTATTTCCACAACTAAATTTGGTATGCAGGAGAGAGGAGAGAACTGTGCATTTTTCTTTATAACTCCTAATATAAAAATGCACACACAGGGACACGTTATATATCTGCTGAATGACTTGGAAATGGTTCTGAATGACATATGCCATGGGTAGTCACCCCAGGGGAAGTTAACAGTTGACTTTTGGCTGTTTGCACAAAAGCCTAACTGCTGTTTTCATTAATATATCTGAGTGTAAATAGTGTTTTCCAAAAGCAAGCAAAATATTTTTAATTATTTTAAAATTGCATTACTATTACCTTGCTGCCTGCTTTAAAAACTCCACGTACAGAAAGTAGGATCTGAATGAAGGAAAAGGGAGCCACATTTACACCTTTCCAAATGGCTTGTTATTGCCGAAGGACCTCACGTGGCTTTCTTTTATATTTTTATACTGGCTGCACCTCAGAGGGGTTCCCGATTGTCTTCTCTACCATTTCCCTCCACTCCTTAATCTCCAGTTTACTTGGTCTTATCTCCTGCAAGCAAAATGGAATTCAAATGGCCTCCTACACCCTCTTTAAACTGGCCTGCTGCCAAGCCAGCTGGGGCCTTTCCTGGCGTCCGGGAAGGGAAGTATATCTCATAACACATAAGCAATGTCTATTTACACGAAGCGACTTACTAAGCCAGCCAGTCATTTCTCAAGGTGATACTCCTGGCAGACTTCCTCTCAGCATTCTGCCCAGACCTACCCTTCTGCTACATTCCCAGATTGGCGATTGGTGTGTTTAACACCCTTCCCGTGTACCTCCCCCATGCAGACTTTTTCCCGTTTTCTGACAGGAACCCCGCAGAGTGAAGAGAGAGCATTACAGGATCCCACACACCACATGTGCGAGCGCCACTAGACTAATCTAATCCTCCCACGTCCCAGCAGTGCCTGGCTGCGGGTTCAGTTTAAACCCTTACCGATCCCTCTTAATTGATCTTTTTAACACAGCAGTAAACACCCCCGTGATTCGTTAAGGTTAAAAACAGCCTTTTTAGATCATTTTGAAAGGAAATTCCTTAAATTCCTTGTTTCAAGGAATCCTAAACTCCTCGGTGCAAACTTCCGAGGGTGAGGGTTACACGCCTCCTGATGGTGTGGGCGAGGGGCAGAGAGGGCTGCATGTTCTGGTCCACACACACACACGCATGCACACGCGCACACACACATACACATGAGATTTCCAATCATTTCTTGTCATGAAATTAATA